AGCAGAAGGGTCCAGGGCTTGGAAGAAGTGTGGGCCGTGTTATGAACTTGATGGTTTCTTGAGAGTATCAGGCCACATCGAGGCTCAAGAGTCATCCATGGGCATTTGTATTCAACAAATAAGTCTAACATCCTACATTGGGAACTGTTATTGTGGAGTTAAGTCCAATTGTTCAAGGGCATGAACTACATCGCGCCCATCAGTGGTCAGTTCTGGGGCATGACGTTAGGGTTTTGTTTTATTTTGTTTATGCAAGAATATGATTACTCATCTGTATGGCCACGTTTGTGTGTGTCCACATCTTTTTGGTAAGCATTGTTTTAATTAGTCACACATTAGCATTTTCAATAGGGCTCTTCAGTCCAGTAGATTACGGGTAGTCAGTTGACGAAGATCTGGTTTACAAGAACTAATTAAACGTTTCATTGCATTTTTGTAAGAACATAGAATAATTTTATAAACCGTGTGTAGTTTATAATCGCCGAAATAATTTAAAGACACTTTTTTCTCTGGGCAAATGTGTGCTTGTGATCCATTTTTTTTTTAGGACACCTGTTTACTAGCTAGCTTTACAATATGCCAAAAAAGGAGTTTTCCCGGACCCAAGCCGTGGTTCACCCTCTTTACCCCTATGCTTTGTGCCCTAGTTTATAACAGGAATGATGGTGATTTAAGTAGTTCTGTATCTTCAGTATCTTGGTCTTCCTGAACCCTCTGGTTGGGAAGGGGATCATCTTTTGCTGGTCATTTCCCTTTGGGGTGCAGCTACTTTAGCGGGCTGAAAGAACCTCATTGGCCAAGGAAATAGAAGAGGTGTCACAGCCCATTGGTGCCCATGGCACTCTTGGGCGCCTGGTGCGGTCGGTACCACTGTGACACAATGCCTCGAGATGGAAAGACTGCACCGCCACGGTGCCACAGTGGTCACCGCACACAGACTTTTCACAAAAGGTGGCAAATTCTGGTGCAGGCGGGCTGTTTGCTTATATGCCTCATGTTATGATTAATGCTTTGTTATAACAAGGAAGAGACTCTTTATTTTTAAGGCACAACACCGAAGATACATTTTCCAATACAAAACAAAATCCTTTTTAATAGAAACTACACACACACAATTTTTTTAAGTCTGACTCCATTTCCGCTAGCTCCCAATGGATTATGGGCCATGTCTACACAACACCACGAAGTCCCCATCATTGGAAATGTGGGGATTCTACACAACATGGGAGGAAAGTCCAGAAACGGGGTTTTCTGTTTTCAACTCTGCGTTCAGATGTTTGATGTTGCGTAGACACGTCCACAAGTGGTAGAGACACTTGGCAAAAACATGTGTCTGCTTTCTCAGCCAGTGAGGTTGAAGTGGGTGTTTTGCCAGAGTTTGTCTACCTCTGGGACAAAATTTAAAAAAGAAATCAAACCAGAAGGCGCGATGGAATGGATGCATTACACATAATTCATTTTCTGAGTTTTCTTCTTTTAAAAAACAGTTTTTTAAAAAAGTTTTTAAAAAATGGTAATTAACAAAGCCAATTTGTTACAAGACTTTCTGTGTATAAATTATTCCTAAAACTTTCCTCTGTTTATATAAAAAAAAAATCAGTAGATAAAAAAAACAAAAAAAAACAACAAAAAAAAAACCTTCAAAAATGTTTTTGTATATTCTGTTGTTAAGAATTTATTCCTGTTACTGCGATATACTCTGGATTCTTTACATTATGGGTGGGGGGGAGAAACTTTGTCTATTTTGAATGGCTGAAGCTACGCAACTTTAGTTTATCTTACTCTGCTTTTTTCTAGTAGTTAAAGTACTACATGGTTTAAGTTAAATAAAAGACTTCTGAATGCATTTCTGGCCTCCGATTTTGTTCTCCGCCTTCCTGGCAGAATCGAGGCTGCGAGGCAGGAAAGTGCGCTGTGTGTTCACACAGGTCACCTGGAGGTGTTCCGAGGCTTTGCCTTATTTCTGATAGTTGAACCCTCTCAGCATGCAAATCGCTGGTGAAGACAGGGATGCTATCCTGTTTCTCACTCCTTTAAATCAGTTGGAAGGGAATCTGAACACCTAAAATACAGAACTCTACGTCAGTTTCAACCGATCTATAGATTTTTCCTACACCTTCCACGGACAAAAGTCAGGCCAAGGTAGGCTTGATCTGGGTGACTCGGGGGCAAAGGACTGACCTCGACATTGCCATGTCAGTGTTGGTACCCGCAGCCAGGGTGCCTCAGAGCGGGCAGGGGAGACCAAGGAAGCACACGGGACGTGGCCTGCTGGAGGTGTTCAGAAAAGTTAGCCCCTTTAAGCTGATGATCTCAGCCTGCCCTGAGGACTCTACAATCGGGCAGCAGTATCTTTGCCAGGGACATGGACACAGTAGGAAATGAGAATACATGTTTAAAGGAAACAAGCTGTAAACGTTCTAGAATGGAACCAGAGATACTTAACACACATCAGGACAAGCTGGTCCATCACTGAACTTTGATCATGGGACATCTTACGGTAACAGACTCGGGCCACTGGATAAAGGGCTCCATAGTAAGGTATAGGCAGCAAAACTAAATCAAAGGTCATGCTTAAGACCTGGTGAGTCTCACAAGTATTTGGACCTAAAACAAAAGGCATTTCTAAGAAGGGGACTCCCGAGCTTGGTGCTGACCCTGGGATTTTGCTCACCATGGTCACGAAGTGTGTGGCCTTTGGGGGACTGTTACTAGATGACCAATGGCTAAAGGCAGGCTTGTTTCCAAGGCTCCGGGGATGTCTGGGCTGCTGGCAGGGTGAACACGGGAGGCCGGCGTACCTCTCCCACGTTCCCAGGTGCGTTAACACTGCCTGGAATCCAGGCTTCTGAGGTAGGCTCTGCACCTGGCTCCAGAAAGAGCAGCAACTTCTGCAGTGTGAGGACCTCTCTCCGCCATGCCACTTCTTAAGACCCCAAGTCCAGCAGGGTCATTTCTATGGTTATCCTCATAGATCCAACCATGAGCCCACACTCAGGAAGCTGCCTGTTTTTAGAGCGGTCTCCCTTCCCTGATGGACCTTCACATGCATTCAAGTTGGATCTGTGTAACAACTCTGCAGAGGGATTTGTATTCGTTTTATAGATGAGCAAACAAGCAGACATGCCCAAGACCCCCAGCTATTACATGACCGATTCAAGGCTCAGCCAAACAGGTTTTCAGTGACTCAGCAGTGCCATACAGTCATAACTAGACAGGTCCTGCTGTGTATCCATGGGGGATGGCAGGCCACTTAGCCAGGATGTGAGTTCCCTGGGGTTCTCCCTAAAGAACTGTGCAGCCACAGAGGGGGAAATGATGTGTTCATCAAGAGGGAGCTCTGAGCCTCCCAACCAAATGACACCTAAAAATCTCACGTGTGTGTGGCTTGGTGCCAAGCCATCTGAAACAACACAGGAGCCGGGACCAGAGGTTCCCTGCTTGCCACTGTCCTGACATGGGAGTTGGAATAACGGAGGGGTCGGGGGATCCGGGCTCTGAGTAGCAGTGTTTGCCTACAAGACAGAAGGCTCTGCACGTTAACAACCATGCAGCCGGACCTCTGCATGCTGGCCGGACCATCCCACTCCCACTCGCTGGCTTTGATATGCTACACCGTGACTTTGATCTGTTTTATGTCAAACGATCCAGTTTCATGGGCAAACGGGGTCCTGTGAAGTCTGTTCCAAATGCACAAGTACTCCAGAGGGCTGCCCAGTTCCTTTGTTACAAAGGTGCAGATACTTTTTCTCATAGTGAATGAGTCTGAGCACGAAGTGATGATCTTTTTAAACATAATTATGTGAAAAGGAATAGTTGTGAGCACACCAAGATAATGAGAAATTTCCCAGAGCTTAGCCATCTTCAACCCTTTCCTCCAAATAACACGTTGCGAATGGGGTTCCCAGTGGAAATTTGCTCCCAGAAAACACTGGACAAGTAAAACCTTACCGTGAGCACTGCAGTGTCATGAAATCAAAATTAAAGGTGAGAAGGGAAGAGAAGCAAACCTAGCTATTAACCTTTGCTTCAAGACCAAACACTACAGGTAGGAATATAAAGGTGTGGCTGTTATGAAAAACAGCATGGCAGCCCCTCAAAAAACTAAACCTAGAATTATAGGTATATACCCAAAGGTAGTATTAATCACAATAACCACAAGGTGGAAGCAACCCAGAGTCTATCAAAAAATAAATGGATAAGCAAAATGTGGTCTATTCACACAATAAAATATTATTCAGCCTTAAAGAGGAAAGAAATTCTGATGCATGGTACAACATAAATGAACCTTAAAGACATGCTGAGTGCAACAAGCCTGTCACAAAAGGACAAATATTGTGATTCCATTTATATGAGGCCCCTAGAGTATCAAATCCAGGTAGACCAATGGTTCAAGAGGTGAGGAGGGCACATTGTTTAATAGGCACATAATTTCAGTTTGGGGTAATGAGAAAGTTCTAGATGATTGTGACACAGTTTAAGTACATAATACTACTGAGCACTTAAAAATGGTTAAAATCGTAAATTTTATGTTTCATGTATTTTATCACATTTTTTTTATTTAAAAAGGAAAAGAAAAAACAAACACTTGAGACTCAGTGGCTCAGAAGCTGCCTAGAGTCTGGATGAAGGAGCTTCGAGGCCAGGAATCGGGCACTAAGCGGTGACCATACCTGTGTGTCCCCATGGCCAGCTGGTCACGGATCAACCCACCATGTGAGGCTCTGCAGAACAGGCCTGTGGTCCCCGCAAACTGGGCAGGATCACATGAACCCGCTGTCTAGTCTTCTAAGACAAAAAAAAAAAAAAAAAAAAAAGACTAGGATTTCATTTTATTGTCATGAAAACCCTAACTGAAGCTAGTTAATCCCTTGTGAAACGTCTGCCTTTCTGAGTGTTCTGCTTTCTGACAATAAAATAACTCTTTTGTGATTTCGTTGGGCTAATTCAGAATTTGTTCCTCTGCGTAAACCGTTTTACAAGCAACTTTTAAAAGCCTCTCAAAGCACAGCTGAAGTCTCCACACAGGACTGAAACATTTCATTTGCTCCAGGAAAGGAGCGGTGTCCCATTTGGTTCTCTTTGGCTGGAACCACCCAGGTTGAGTTTTCCATGAACCAGGCTTTGAACTTGGGCTTTCTCACCCTCTCCGGCATCTCCCGGATGGTGACTTACAGGGCTTTCCCCACTAGGCTGGCCGGGAGCCTTGGAGAAAGTGGAGGAACTGGATGAGCGCAGCACCCCCATTTCCATGGTGCAAAGACAGGTAGGTGTGATCAGACATATGGGCAACCGCAAGAAGGGCCAGGACCAGCCTCTAACCTCAGTGAAAGGTAAGGCGAAGGGGTGGTGTAGCATCCCCACAACATGAGGGAGGCTGCCACCCAGGGAGACGGAGGTCTTGTCCCTCCGCCCCAGAAAGAGCATGTTACTGGGAATAGGCTGGGGACACGCTGGCTCTTGGCCTCGTGGTCTCATGACCAGCAACTGGCCGAGCTGGGTTCACCCTGAACCCATGAGCCCTTCTCGTTTCTGTCTACATCACAGAGTCAGGAAAATCAAAGGTGAGTCCATCTCTATCTGGGGCGAAATCAGAATAGTTCAATCACACCTCGGGCCGCAATAAATGAAAATAACGTGTTCACAGAGTGGCTGTCAAAACACGCCTTCACGTCTGTTTTTCTACCTAAAGGCCGTGTTGGGGGCAGGGGACAGGTCTGCAAGGGCCACCCTGGGTGGCACCGTGTGACCACGTGCTGGGTGGCGGGCTCACGGTGGCCTCTCAGAGGGAAGGGGGACATCCTGGGAGAAGGATGGGTGGAGGGGACACAGCGGCTATCCTCCCTGACCTACCTGCTCAGTGACGCGACACAACGCACCTGCCCGCGTCGCGGGAGAACGCCCGGGCCTTCCCCTCCTCAGCCACGCGCCTGCGTGCTGACCGCCATCTTGCTGACCCACGCCTCGATCACTTCCGGGCCAAGCGGGAGGCGCGTGCTGTGCTCCGGCCGGAAGTCTCGAACGTCGGCATCGCGATATTTCCTGGTTCGGAAACCACGGCCCTGGTGGCGCTGTCCGAGGCCACGTGCACCATGAGCCGCGTCCGCAGGTGCCGAGGAGGGTTCAGGGAGGCTGAGGCCGCTTTGTCACCAGGTATCACCAAGCAGAGGGCTATGCAAGGCGGCAAAACCTCTCCAACCAACTGCGCCCCCTCCCCCCCCCCCCCCGCAATCCTCCCCTAATTAATAGGCTGGATGGAAAAACAGCTGGATGGGAAATCATGCCGCATTTCATGGAAATGCATTTATAGTTCAAAATACCCTTAACTAGGGTGGAATACTCCCATTTTTCCTGGGGGGTGGGGGTCCAGCTGGTCTCTAAGACCCCAGGCGACGCTTCATTGCCTTGGAGCCCTGCTGCAGGAAGTCAGTAACGTGCGGACTTATTAGCTTGAAAAAAAAAATGGCCAAGTGTTTCATCAGAAGGGTTGGAGCGTTGTCTTAATGGTGTGGAGGTGTATCTTTTCTTCGTCTCACCATCTCATCCCTGCATTGGGGTTTTAGGTAGTGACGGTTCAGATAAGTTGGCCGGTGTTTTGAGCGTGGCCTTCCCCAGGTGGGCCACCTTGCAGCCAGACTTCCCTGCTCCAGGTGGCTGGGAGCTGCCCCCAGGGCCTCTCTGGTTGGGGTAATTATCATTTGAGTCCTGGCTGGGAATACAGCTTCTGTGTCTTTTCCTCCTCCTCTCTCCAGCATCTTCTTCCGAGATCTACGTTGCATTTCAGCTTAAACTTTTAGGAACCGGCTCAAAACCTTATAAAATCTGCTGGAACCGTACTGGTGGGATGCCGGTGTGGTGTGTACCTCAGCCATCAACCCTAGAACCAGGCTTCAGGGGTTCACAGCCTGGGGGGCTCTGTCACATCATCAGCACCACCACCCTGCCCCCACTGGCTCCCCAGCCATCCTTTACTGGTGGTTGAAGATCTTCCCAGATGCTGGTGACTGTGTGCTTCACCTCCCTGTAATCCACGGGCAGCCGATGAGTCCACAGCACCCCTCCCTGTCACTTCCCAGGCCCAGCCTCCAGAGCTCCAGGGGAAAGAAGCAGGCAGACTCACCTCCCTTGACAGAGGGCCTGGGGGCTTCCCTGAAAAGCTAACATTTGGGGTCATCCATCCCACTCCCAGGGGCCTTGAATGGGCCTAGACCCTGCCCTGAAGGAGCCACACAGTGCAAGGGGCCAGCAGGAAAGCACAATTCAAGGCCCAGAGAAGCTGTTCCCATCAAGATGTGGGTCCCAGCCTTCAGGTTAGGAAGTAGTTCACAGAGCGGGTGTAGGGGAGTTCCGAGGGACAGGTGGGGTAAACCAGATGAAGAATTCGGGAAGGGCGTGTCAGGCATAGTCCAGGATGGATACTTAGCCTTCCTGCACTCTGATCTCAGAGTTAACTGCAGGGAGCACCCCCAGGCATGTTGGCAAACAACCGCCACCGACTGTGTCTGGCGACACTGGCTCCTAAAGGAAGAGTGGGAACAGAAGTTGGAAAGGTCTGCAGGAAGTCAGATTGAGTGTTTAGCTGAAGGCTAGCTTTTCTCCTTAGGGCAATGGGAGCCATCTGAGGATGTGCACAAGGCGCTAATGAGGCATCCTAAGAGGATGGAGGTGGAGGCAGAGGTGGACTGGGGAGTTTAGTGGGGTTGATGTTGGCCCCTTGGCTCTGTATGTGTGGCGTATACAGAGCCACTGACACTGACCAGGCAAGGCAGCAAAGTTATGTGAGATCTAGAGAGAGAGCAAATGCAGGAAGAGGAGGATAAGGTAGAGAGAACCCAAGGTCAAGGAGCACCCTCCTTCAAGGGTAAGAGAAACAGAGGGCAGTTTGGAAGGAAGAAAAGCAGGAGAGTGTGATCTTAGGAGTGTGTATTTCACTGTGGGCAAACGTGAAATCAAATCAGGAACCTGAAAGCATCCCGGAAAAGGCCAAGTTCTCTCCCTGGCCAGGAGTCATGCTTGTCACCAGGATGGTTTGGATCAGTGCCTCGTCCTCCCTGACCCCCTTCCCTGGTGTTTCAGGATATCCGAGCGTGTGCACCGTTGGATGGAGAAGACAGCCAGGGATGTCAGGCCTGCCCAAGGTTGCAGCCAGTAGACTGCAGGACCCTGTCCTAGGCTTCGGAGGACACAGCTGCACCTGACGTGCCCAGACGCGAGTCTGCCTATGTTGCTGTCATTGAGGAGAACACTTCTGGCCAACTTCGATGTCTCAGGTCTGTCCTGGACCAGCTCAGCCTTCCTGAGGGGCTCTGCCCCATCCTCCAGACACCACTCAGAAGCCCAGTCCCCTGGACCAGCTCAAACTTTGCTCTCTTCCAAAAGTAAGTGCCAACACCGCATCCCTATTGGGGTCCTTGAGGGAGAGTCCATTTGCCTGACTCTGATGGTGGGAGGCAGGAAGGAAGCCAGGGCGTGCCAGGCACGGACAGGAAGGCAGTGGAAGAAGCAGGCTGAGCTCCAGGTGGCCATTGCGAGGGCCACACAGACCAGGGGGGTTCCAGGTCTTGTGATGCTGTGTGGGCCCCTGTGCTGGAGAGAATGAGTGGGGTTGGTCTCTGTATGCTGTCAGCTCAGTGGTGTTCCCACAGGGTGTGGCTCTGAGCACAGATGCAGAGGGACCCCAGAACCAAACGGAGTGGCCTGGGTATGTGCTTTCAGGGCCGTACCCCGATGAGCTCTAGCTCTGTTGTCAGTGGCAACAGCAATTAATTATGCTCACGCAGCTGCAGAGGGAGCCTGAGGGCTGGAGACGTGCACCTTGAGCCCAGCAGCTTGTGGGGGCCACACCCAAGCGGCCCAGCAGCGGCTGGCCAGTGCCTCATCTTCACGTCGGCGTGCCGCTCTGCTTCTTGGTTGGCACACATGCAGAGCCCAGACCTGGTCGGGCCACAGCGTGGTTCCCTTCGTCTTTCTCCGCCACAGTCTTTTCTTTCCACCCCACCCTATGCCATTTGAGAAGGGAGAGGAGAGAGAGCATCTCTGGACATCTTGTCGCTCTCCCAGCTGCTGTGTGGGTTCAGCGCTGGGTTGGGGCTCCCTTCCTGAGGGTCCTGTGGCTATTGGAACAAAGCACCACCAACCAGGAGGCTTAGAACAGAAAGGGCTTGTTTCCCAGCCCTGCAGGAAAGAAGTCCAAGATCTCGGGGTAGGCAGGGCCTTGGTCCCTCTGGCCCTGCAGGGAGGCTCGTGTACCTGGCCTCTTCCGCTTTGGGTAGCCCTAGACATCCGTGGGCTCGTGGCAGCAGAGCTGCGGGGTTCTGGTCCTCTCCCCTCTGCGCATGCCTGTCTCTGTCCAGATGACCAGCTTTATAAGGTCACTCAACTCAAGGCTCCCTGGGACTGTACTTCCCAGAAGCCTGATGGCATCACTCTTGCCAGCGTAGAAAGTGCAGGAAAGCCACGCTGTAGGTCTCCCTGGTGTTTCAGAGCTGCTGAGGGATGGCGAGTGTTTGACATTGGACTTGACACCTCTGTGTGTTTTGCTTATCTGAAGATGATGCTCTCCGGAGATTAAAAAGTCCTGCTTCTGCTTATCAGGTGTTCCTTTCAAGCTTCTAATCGGGGCTCAAACACAGTGGACTACAGGCTGACATTAGAAGCCGCCTGCTGGCTTCCGGAGGGACCCCTGGTCTGGGGCGCACTGCAGAACCAGCTGGGAGATGGGAACAGGCACTGTAGGTGGAGGAAAGGCAGATGCCACTCATTGCTTCACCTCAGCTCAGGTCCTTTTTTTGCCACCAGGTAAATTAAGAAAAGCTTTGATTGTTTAGAGATCTTCGGATAGCAGAGTTGCAGATAAGGGATTGTGGAGCAGTATAAACTTGACCTTGTCCTTGTGTCGCTCGGATACTGGATACTGTTATCCAGATCTTCTCGCTGTCTGTTCTGTTCCTGATCCGAAGGTCACCCCCCTCCTTTCCTCTCCTGTCCTGATGAAGGGAGAGCCTGCAGCCCGGTAGGTCTGCCCTGTTACCAGTGACAGGGACCGTCAGCCTCCCCTGGGAGGAGGTGATCACTGCTGCCTTCAAGGGGGGGCTGGACGCTCCAAGGCCATCTGGTTCCCCTGGAGCCCTTCCGGCGGGGGAGGACCTAACAGATACCCCCTGGGGGGACGGAGAACCTTAGGGGAGTAGGTCAGGTCACGTGGCCCTGGCCTACTGCCTGGATGGCCCTGGGAAGTCTGCAGCCATCCTGAGGTCACCAGGATGTGTGGGTAGCTGCATTGGTGGTGTGTGTGTGTGTGTGTGTGTGTGGAGGGGGGTGCTATGAACGGAAATGTGTCCCTAACAAAATCCATATGTTGAAGTCCTCACCCTCATTGCACGGTATTTGGAGATGAGGACTTTGGGAGGTTGCTAGGTTCAGATGAGGTCATGAGGGTGGGGCCCTGTGATAGGATTAGTGCCCTTAGAACCGGAGGAAGAGAACAGAACCAGAGGGCAGCCATCTGCAGGCCAGATCCCAACCATGGTGTCGTAGGACAAAGCAGGGGCTTTGGGGTCAGAAGGATACGGACTTGAGGCCTGGCTCCGCCACCTTTCCTGGTGTACAGTGGGCATGTTGTGTAACTGGGGTGCACCTGTCTCCTCACCTGTGAAACGGGGATCCCGAAGAGTCCGAGGGTTGTTCACAGATATCAAATGAGTTGATTCACAAAAAGTACCCTGCACACTGCCTGGCCCAGAGTCAGGGCTTCGCTTGAGGGATTCATGCGGATAATTAACCCACGTTAATTTGAGAAAGCCATGTAAGAAGGATCTATTGAAAGTGACACTTATTAGACTTTGCTGAGTGGGGCCATCAGAAGCAGAGAGGAGACCATTCTGCACAAGCAGACGGCAGGCCGCTGGCTGCCACCGTCCCTTCTGCTGAGAAAGGCTGGTTGTTTTAGCAAAGAGAGGGGAGGTGCTGTGCAGACCTGGACGGAGCCAGGGGTCTGTGCCTCGGACTGGCACACGCTCTCAGCTAGAATTGCAGAGTGCTTTGCGCTCACGGGGGTGGGACAGAGCCTGGCACACCCATGCTAACCAGAGTGGCTCCAGAGTATTGCTCTCTCCAGGGGGATGACCAGGCTCAGCAGGGACCTAAAAAATGCTTGAACTCCATCAGTGCAAAGGTCCTGGGGCAGCCAGGGGCGAGGGCATGGGGCTTCTGCCTGTTTCTCCCACGTCTTCCTGCTTCCGTGTCATCCAAAATGTGGTCGCCAGGAACACATGGCGGTTTCGCAGAGGAAATCCAAGGAAGGCAGAAAGACACCAGTTGCTCTTGGAATTCTTTTCAAATCCACCGAAGCTGTGGCACCAACTGCTGTTGCAAACAGTTGCTGTTTTTCAAAAATCGAATTCTTTCCCTTGTCAAGTGAGGAATGCATTTCTTCAGTCAGTCGTTCAAGGGAAACTCCTCAGGCTGCTGCTGGATGGTCCTCTGCTCAGGGCTTGGCTGTCCTGGAGGGTCACGTTCTTGCAGTAGACACAGACCAGGAGCAGAGAGTGATGATGGGGGCCCGGACGGTGTGGCTCAGTGATTGAGCATTGGCCCTGCATCAAGAGGTCGCCGGTTCGATTCCCGTCAGGGCACATGCCCAGGTTGTGGGCAAATCCCCAGTGGAGGGCATGCAGGAGGCGGCCAATCGATGTTCTGTCTCATCGATGTTTCTCTCTCTCTAAAATCAATAAAGAGCCCTGGCCGGTTTGGCTCAGCGGTTAGAGCGTCGGCCTGTGGTCCGGAGAGACCCGGGTTCGGTTCCCGCTAAGGGCATGTACCTCGGTTGCAGTTTGTCCCCGGCCCTGGTTGGTCGTGCGGGTGGCAGCCACTCGATGTGTCCCTTTCACATCGATGTTTCTCTCTCTCTCTCTCCCTCCTGCTCTATCTGAACAAAGAATGAAAAAGTGTCCTCGGGTGAGGATAATAAAAATAAATAAATAAATTAAATAAAATAAAGAAAGAAAAAGAAATTTTAAAAAGAGAAAGTGATGGCAGGAGTCTCGGTTGGAAAGGCTGCGCTGGGCCCGGCTGCGGCTGCGCAGGCCGGAGGGCGAGCCCCAGAGGGAGGAGGAGGAGCCTGCTTCTTCCTCCCTGACTTGCTGAGCCTGGTTTCCCTGTCTGAGAAGTGCAGTGACGGGGTTGCCGTGCAGGTTAATCTGTGACCAGAGCTCGGAGGACTAGCAGGATGTGCTGAGGGAAGGGACCTGAGGCTGCGTGATGCGAGCAAAGGTCTCCCTCCCTCGCTCCCGCCTTCCCTTTCCTTCCCTTTTCGGTCTTCTCTCCCTCACTCACCCAGCAGACGCTGGGTGTGGATGCAGGACCTCCTGCATGAGGTGTCTGTGCCGGGCTCCTGCCGTGTCCCCAGGGAGTGACAGCGGAGGAGGGTGTGATGTGGGCTACTCTTAGCTGCTGGGATGGAGGGGCCTGGGAGCCATTGGGGTCGCTGAGACCAATCCAGTCATGAAAAACAGGGACCCTCTAACCCAGTCCCCCACCTGGAGCACTTGTCTCTAAATATTTCTGATCATATGCCCCTCTTTTTTTTTTTTAATATGTTTTTATTGATTTTTCTTTTGAGAAAGAGAGAGAGGAATGGAGAGGGAGGGAGAGAGAGAAAAACATCAATGAGCACCGATTGGCTGCCTCCTGCATGACCCCTCCTGGGCATGGCGCCTCCAACCCAGGCATATGCCCAGGAATCAAACTGGTGACTTCGTGTTCATGGGTGAATACTCGGCCACTGAGCCACACCAGTTGGGCGTCACATGCACCTCTTAAGACAAGGTGTCAGAGTGCACACACACGCACACGCACACACACACATCATGAGCTGATGTCTCAATGTCGCAAGGCAGGTAAGCTTCATTGTTATAGGTGGATATAAGGCTATATTTCCTATGTTTTCCCTAATTCCCCCTTTTTTTGGCCAACTCACCAGATTGTCATTGTTTCTACATGGCACCGTGGCTGGCACAGAGCTCACCTGTGGGTGGAGAAGTGTCACTCGGTGGCTGGTGTGTTTGCTCAGGTCTGCGGCTGGTTGTGGGTTTGCAGACCACATCAGTGAGGACTCCTTGGTCATAATTTGAGGATCAGTATAATTAAATCTGGATAATAGAATCCTGAGATCCATTAACTGCGCTGACTTATTTGTAATAAATGAAAAGTGGATCACAGAGGGGAGCTTCCGTGTCCCCATGGTGTCCCTTGCCTCAAGGCGACACGTCCCTTCTTCCTCAGGACACCATGCCTGTCAGGGACCCGTGGACATAGAAAGCAAAGCCAGCGTCAGTCTAGCTATGACATAACGGCCAAGGTGCATTTCTTTCTTGTTTTTACAGGCTAAAGACAGAACTGTACCTGTGTTAGGGTGGCCATTGTGATTAAAACCGAAAATAACAAGTGTTGGTGAGGACCTGAAGAAGTTGCAGCTTGCACCTGTGTTCTGCCCTGGCTGTGACGAGTCAGGCTGTCCCACTGAGAGT